GTGAAGAAAGTCTGAAGTCAGCGCCCAAGTCCCAAAGCACAGCTCAATGACCGACGCTAGACGTAGTGTTAGTGACACTTGAGCCGAGTTACGTGGAACCTGAGCCACCTGGCCTCAAATATGCTAACTTCTGAACTGTTAGAGTGTGAGCAAGCAGGTGCTGGGAGCGCCACACCTGAGACCGCCCCTGTCAGGTGTGTAGAAAGCAGTCGAAGAAAGAGCCACACTGTGGTGTTTTTAATACCAGTCTAAGCACACGCCAGTGATTTTCCGAGTTACAGTAAAGGAACCATAATCCTTTCCTTATCGACAAATATTCAAGCCCCATTGAATGTATGCATCTTGTACTCGATCCCCAATTTCCCTTCTAGCCTCGGAGAACGTTGAAAAGGGAAAAATAAAGTCCTAACCACGTCACGGGGTCAAAGATGTTCATTGTGCTTTAGGGCTCGGGCAGCGGGTTTTTGGGTTTTGGTTTGTGTTTTTTGGCTTGGGGACAAAGCAATTAGAAATATACCTGTAGTCACCATTGATCTTACAGGTAACTAGAGCAGAAGGTGTACTTAATCGCAGGCTGAAAGTTTTAATTCAGCTATATAACTAGATAGTTCTTAGTATTTTTAAAAATTTCTCTATGGAAAAAAAAAATCTTTGGATGTTAAAGGAGTGCTAAAATTGAGTCAACCCCATCCTAGGCATCAAAGGTGCAGCTAAATAAATAAGTAAATAATATCAATAATAAAATGTTAAAATTTGTAGATGTGAACTTGATAGAAAGTGTAAGTTGTTTGCATTGTGTCTACACCATGCCAAACCATCTAGATAAAGTTAGATATCTGCGTATTTGGAAACATCAGAAGATTGGTTGATTTTTGGCACCTTTGATCAAAATGTATGGGGTCTGTTCATTTTGCTCATGGAAAAAGTACATTTATTCATTCAATAAATATTGAGCCTCTGCTCCAGACTGTAGTGTTGTGCACTATGTTGTTGTTAGGTGCTATCCAGTCGTCTCCGACTCATAGCGACCCTATGCACAGCAGAACAAAACACTGCCTGGTCCTATGCCAGCCTCACGATCCTTGCTATACCTTGTGCACTGTACTTACATTGAAATTCACAGGCTACAGAGGAAATATGCTTCTCATTCTGAAAGAGTTTATGAATTGAGTCGGAGCTGTCTTTAAAATCCAATAAATAAAACCCTCTGATGCTGAGTCAATTCTGAGTCATAGCAACCCTATAGGTCTACAAAGTAGAACTGCCCCATAGGGTTTCCAAGGCTATTATCTTTACAGAAGCAGACTGCCAGTTCTTTTTCCCCTGTAGAGGCGGGTGGGTCTAAACCACCAACCACCGACCTTATGGTTTGCAGCTGAGTGCTCTAACCACTGCACCATCAGGGCTGCCTTAAATCAAATAAATAGTTACTGTTTATTGAATAAGGAGCTCTGGTGGTGTAGTGCCTAAGGCATTTGACTGCTAACCAGAAGGCTGGCGGTTCAA